AGTGTATTGAGATCCAATCACAAACATAGTTAGTGAATTGAACTAATATATCTTCCATCAACACTAATGTAATTAACCATGACAAAGATGAACAATGAAATGCATTTCTATCGGCAAGCTTTGGAAGTGGCGTAGCAAGTGAGGGGGGGGGGCTGGGAATGCGGGCTGCACCGTGTGACATCAAACCTAGCTACGCCCTTGGGCCTGGGCAATCCCCGATGGAATATCAACACTAATGTAATTAACCATGACAAAGATGAACAATGAAATGCATTTCTATCGGCAAGCTTTGGAAGTGGCGTAGCAAGTGGGGGGGGGGCTGGGAATGCGGGCTGCACCGTGTGACATCAAACCTAGCTACGCCCTTGAGCCTGGGCAATCCCCGATGGAATTGCCCGAAACAAGCTTAACGTATTTAATTTTAAGATGACCTACATTTTTCGTCTTGATTGTGAATATCACAGCAAGTAGACACAATCTGGTCTCTGTCCCTGAGTTGTTTGTGAATGACGCATCAAGTAGATATAATCTGGTCTCTGTCCCTGAGTTGTTTGTGAATGACGCATCAAGTAGATATAATCTGGTCTTGGTCACTGCTCCGAGTTTCTGAACGCTGAAGTAAACTGAAAAACATTTTTTTAAGAATGCTCAGGTACGACACATGATTATTTTTGGATAGTGGACAGTTACGGGTATTAAAATAATAAAGTTATTGGTCTTCAAAGGAGGACATAATTTGTTCCAGCTGTACAAGACTGACCAGAAAGAATCATGTCGGACCAAGGCGAAGTTTATGAAGAAGGGCTTTCAGCCGAAGAATTTTTTAAAAGAGGCGAAGGACTGACCTACAGGTAATAAATCATACAAAGGCTAACCAGGTAAACTCTACCTGCAAATAGTCCTTATACAGACAATCCTACAGACAGTCCTGCAACATACACCTGGCTCTTTATTGATAAAGTCGCCTCCCAAATATTTCAAACTTTTCACCTGAGTTTAACCTCCGGGCATGACACTCGCTGTTTGACAGCTTCCACCCCCCCCCCCCACCAACCCCACAAACTCAATTACTATTAATATAAAACATGTTGAGCAAGGGAAGGGTCACTTCTGAAAAAGACACAAGAGATCATATTAGTATACTAGAAAGCATGTAAATATAGTGATAAATCATATCTAGTATACTAAATAGCTTTTTAACATAATAATAAATGATATCATCCAAGTAAACCATATGGCGTTTCATTTTAAAAAAAAATATATTATCTTAATGCTATATACGTTTTTAATGTAGCAATACATCATATCCTAGTATATTATAAAGCTGAAAATAGTCGTGTTAATGGGCCTGCAAATGTAACGCATAAATTCTGATCTTTGAAAATTTTGTTAAACACAAAATTCAAATAAACTCACATCAATAAATTAGGAATATTTCCCACATAGTTCGATAACAGTTTAAAAAGAATTTTAAGAAAAAAAATGATAAAAGGTGTTGTATGGGTTTCTTATTTTTCGTCTTCTACTATTATACCTCAACAAACATCGCCACCAGCACCACCCACAGTGACACATATACCACCACCCCAAAGACCACCATGATCACAATCAGCACCACCCACCACAACAATCACAACCAAAACCACCAACACCACCATTGCCATCGCTGCCACACACCACCTGCCACCACTACAGATCACGACCACCACCACCCGTCACCACCACAACTTCACCACTTCCACTCGTCACCACAACGAATACCACAATTGCAACTGTTGTAGCATGTGTGTTACCTAATTTGGCATCAACGTAGCACTAAAGCTTTAAACGCTTATCTCTCTTTCTCCTTCCTTGTGACATTGATGCAACTGATTAAATCTGTTGCACCCTACCATTAACCACCCTCCCCTTGATTGGGAAAAGGTTGTGTTGTTTAAGCTCTAATTAGCTCTGAAGAATGATATCAAATATAGAATCTACTACTAATGCTGTTAACTAACACTCTCTACCACAGTCATTAATGAAAACAAAATATTTTTGCAGTGACTTCGTGATTTTTCCTGGATACATAGATTTTGGACAGAAGGAAGTTGTGAGTACTGTGTTTTTAATAATACAAACAAGCAAATATCTAGCACACAAATTGTTTTAAGATGGTGGAGTCAAAAGGCAACTGTCAAATACATCTCTATAAATGATCTCCAACATTGGATTAGAGCACCATTGAAATACATCTCTGTAAATCATCTCCAACATTGGCTAAGAGCACCATTGAAATACATATCCATTAGAGACCGACCGAAAGTGATTTTCTGATTTCGGCCGAAACCGAAACAAGGCCAAAATTTAAAAATGCCTTTCGGCCGAAACAGAAGTCGAAATTTAAAGCTTAACGAGACTTTCGGCTGAAACTGAAGCCGAAACCAAAAGCTTAGCGAGACTTTTGGCCGAAACCGAAGCGGAAGCTGAAATATTTAGGTATTTTGAAATTTGTCCACGCATACATTGTGCATATAGTCTAACAAAAAATTATGGGGAAAGTATCAATATTTACATTCTTTAAAAAAAAAAATAAATCACCGTGAATATTAATAAATAAACATTTAATGAATACTTTGACTTTTACTATTTGAATTTAAAAGTAATTTACATTTTCTTAAATTTTTTAAAAAGTAGTAGGTAATCGAAAATTTGGACCGGTTGGGGGGAGGGTGCCCTTTGCTTTTTTAAATATAATTACATTCTAAATTGGTCGCCTAAATCATAAAAGTAAACAGGTCTGCAGTAGGCCTACTACATAATTATAATACAAACCAGTGATACATGCACACATGTTATTTCGTCAATAACAATGTTTATGAGCATGATAATGATGAATTTCAAGAAATGAATGAATTGAAAAACCTTAAGTTTCCTTAATTAAAAAAAATAATAAAAATAATTAATAATAGAAGGGGACACATTACCATTTCCTAGGATTATTCAATATCATTCACCTTTAACATTAATGTGTATGATAATGATAAATCAAAATGAATATCACAAATGAATGAATTGACTAAACCTAGGGCTCCAAATATTATTTTTGAAAAATTGAAACAAAAATAAGGCTATAACTATTACCATTACATTACTATTTCTTCCACAAAACTGTTTACATTTGCCTAGCCTTAATTGAAATTTAAATTTTTGGGAAACAAAGGACAAGTAGGTTATAAAGCAGCTATGAGCAGTTTTCGCCGAGTATTAGTCATATAACATACGATGACAACAAGACGTCGAGCAACAATGAATATCAGATTGCCGCCTAGAGACAGACAGTCTGATCTCTGGTAAATGACCGGAAACCCCAGTCACTTTCGGCCAGATTGTCGAAAGTCTCAATCACTTTTGGCCGAAAACGAAATTAAACCGAAAGTGATCAAATGACCGGTCTCTAATCTCCATAAATCTTTTAAAATATTGGCTATTATAAAATGAACGCGGTTCATTTACATCCGAACTCAACTATTCCAACATGACGCTATGCAAAATAACGCCATAATCATATGAAATCCAAACATAATCCCATCCAGAATTATCAATAATTCTTAGCAGGTTAAAATAGGTTAATCAATGACATCATACAAAGAGTTATGTTGTCACGTGATCATGTTGTCGTGTAATCATACGATCACGACAACCACCGTCACCATCACCCCACCCCACCAACGCTACCCCAAATACTTTTTTTTGTTTGTTCGTTCGTCCGTCCAGGATTGACGAGGACCATCGAGTCGTCCGGTGACTGATGACTTGTGCGGGTGACTTTTGTTTAAAGTGAGGAAGAGTTGCGCGGCGTCAACCTCACTCTCTCTTCCGGGCCCACCATATCCAGTGGCAAGACTCTACGTCAAGACGACCAGGGATGGGTTCGGTTGCAGGAATTGTCATTGTATGCGCCTTACGGGACTCCAACTCCGGGTTTGAATTCAGAAGAGTTTCCTTCTCTTAGATGAGTTGCCGACCAAGGTTAACGAGTCTCATCCACCCAAAATACTATCATCACGACCGCCATCACCGCCCCCTCCACCACAACCAACACTACACCACCACCACCGCCACCACCTTCAACACAAAAGTGTCCACCACTACTACCACTACCACTGGAATTAATACCCACCACGTTCTACTTTGCAGGACCTGACGTCAACACTGGCAGCACGGCTCACCACTAAAATCGAGCTCAAAATTCCCATAGTGTCGTCACCCATGGACACTGTCACAGAGTCCAGAATGGCAATTGCCATGGCAGTAAGTTGTTTGGGTCTGATTTAAAAAACAACTCCGAAAAGAACTTAAATGCGAGATGTTTAATTGGAGGAGTTGATAGGGGAACGGTTTAATTATAAAACATAGCGATATAACACAGTGGTTGGAGCTTTAATGTCGGCATTCAGCTTGATAATGTTAATTCCCCGGAATCGCCCACATTTCTCAGCTCTTAAAATAGATTCATAATGACGTCATACGAAATTTGGTAATGTGGTCATGTGATCACGTTGTCACGTGATTTTGTTGTCATTTTGTCACGTGATTATGTTGTCATATTGTCACGCTGTCGTGCGAACATGTTGCTATAATATCACGTTGCCAAGTGATTATGAAAACAAACGCCATGCCGTTAAAGCGAGAACAAAGGTGTTGCCCTTAAAGCGAACACCCATTGCTACCTTTAACCCAACAAGCTGATCCACATGGTGAAGGGAAGCGTTCATGCAGAATTGTAGAATAATGAACTTTTCATTCGTTTAAATTTACTTTATTTTATAATCATACAGTTTAAAAAAAACAGTTTTAAAATACAAAGTTAAAATACAGTGTTTGCCGGACGAGTCATTATAGTCACAACAATACATAGGTGCAAACTGGTGCCCCTACAGAGAGGCATTTTGATGTTAATAAAGCTATAATTATTAATTTTTTTTAAAACTTCATTCCCTCCCCAGCAACACGGAGGTGTTGGAGTTATACACCACAACTGTACCCCAGAATTCCAAGCAAACGAAGTTCGCAGGGTCAAGGTTGAAACTTTAATACATTAATTACATATTATAAGAGTTTTATACGGATACTAGCTGAATGCCCTTGTCTCGCTAACGTTTTTGGAGTGAATCGACATTACAATAAGTTCATAAGTTATATGAACAGTCAAAGTATGTAAAACAATAGGCTTTCTTTCTTTGGACATATAAAGTGCAACAAATGAGTCAGTATGATGAGCTAGTCGAGTAATTTTCTTTCCGTAATGGAAATTGATAGTCTTGAATTGTAGGTCCGCCAAACATCGGATTATTTGGTTGAATCCCTTTGTGTGCAACGCCAAACTCTAGAAGTAAGTGTACGTAACCAGGCAAATGACTTGGTTAGATGGACGTAACCAGACAACTGACTTGCTTAGATGGACATAACCAGGCAAATGACTTGGTTAGATGGACATAACCAGGCACATTACTTGTTTAGATGGACATAACCAGGCAAATGACTTGTTTAGATGGACGTAACCAGGCAAATTACTTGTTTAGAAGGACGTAACCAGGCAACTGACTTGGTTAGATGTACGTAACCAGGCAACTAACATGATTTGATGAACGTAACCAGACAACTGACTTGGTTAGATGTACGTAACCAGACAACTGACTTGGTTAGATTTACGTAACCAGGCAACAGACTTCGTTAGGTATTTAAGAAATTTCCCGAGTATGTATACATTGTCATCATCTTCCTTTAAATTCCAATATTCTATTTTGAGAAGGAAGTTTGAGAAACCTTCTGCCTTTCGAGGGGGGTAACCCTCATGTTGACTCGCAGGGATCGGACTTGCACTTTAGGTCATAGATGGGATGACTTAAGAAAGACTTACACCTCATCAGCACCCAAGGGTTCCCAGGGGAAAGACGGGTTGTTTCTGCCTAAAATCACCGGCCAGTAACATAATAATCCCACATATTTTACTTCTCTAGATGTGCTGAATCGTTCTATCAAAATCGTTTATTCCGCCATGTTGCCATGATGCACTCATCCCAAACAATCCTCTTGATTGTGAGCCTTGGTGCACTCATCTTAAACAATCTTTTCTGGTTGTGAGCCTTGGTGCACTCATCTTAAAAAATCTTTTTTTTTTGTTAGCCTTGGTGCACTCATCTTAAACAATCCTCTTGTTGTGAGCCTTGGTGCACTCATCCCAAACAATCCTCTTGTTGTGAGCCTTGGTGCACTCATCTTAAACAATCATCTTGTTGTGAGCCTTGGTGCACTCATCTTAAACAATCATCTTGTTGTGAGCCTTGGTGCACTCATTAAACAATCCTCTTGTACTCCGGAAGTACCTAGGCTGTTTTACACTGCTTTGAATTTTCGCACATGTAATCTCATAGCCATATCAGTTGCGAGGCAGTTTAAAGGCAGAGTGAGCTGTCCTTACTATTTTCTTGTCATTTCTTACGTTATCACAGCGGTTCTCAACCTGTGGGTCGCGACCCCTTTGGGGGTCGCACGACTCTTTCCCAGGGGTCGCCTAAGACCATCTGAAAACACATATACTCTACAGTTATGAAGAAGCAACGAAAATAATTGTGTTGGTGGGGGTCGCCACAACATGAGGAACTGTATTAAAGGCTTGCGGCATTAGAAAGGTTGAGAACCACCGCGTTATCAGATGAAACAAAAACTTTTTTCATGTGCCATCTGGAGCGCCAAGAAAAATTTGCCGTGAAGAATCTGAACCAAGGCCACCAACGGCATCTTGATAGACTTGATTTGATCAGCGTAGATTTTTTTTCTCCAAAGTTTTGGAGAACTGATTCAGAAAGTCCCCTCAAGTTTTCACGAATAACATTGACTAAGTTCAGAACATGAGACGGACGTCGAAGGAAGGTCAGACTGGTCAATTGTTCGGTTAAACAGTGAAAATATTACATTTTCTAGGAGAATAAATCTTTCAAAAGGTCATCAACAAAAATTGCTGAATCAAAGTTTCTCAACTAATCTCGACACCAAAACTCGCCCCAAAAACATAATCCAAAACATGTTCCGAAACAAAACCATTTGCAGTAACCATGTTACGAACATTGGAGATTTCAGGCCACTTAAAGGATATTTAACCCCCCCCCCCCCCCCCCAACCAACAAAAACATGTTGGTGACCCCCTAACGCATGAGGAGAAACAACATGCAACATTTCAACTGCATGGGGCTTGGTCTTGAAATCTCCTGACATTCTTATTCTTTTCTTTTTTCGCATATTCAAGTAATGGGTGGAATAGACATAGATCATGTCAATTTCATCTATAATTTTGGGAATGTTTTTTTTTTTTGTTGTTGTTGTAGTGATGAAGGCATTTCTCGAGCCGTTAAAATGTGTATATTGTGTCATCATAATTAAAGTTAGGATTTAAAGTTTTATTTATACACAATTTGTTTGTGTCTCATTTATCAACATTCTAAAGTAGCATTCTGGGAATGATTTAAAAATGATGTTATCTGTTCGTTGCTGTAGGAGCACAAGCGTGGCTACATCTTTGAGCCTACTATCATGTCTCCGACACGCTCACTGAAAGATGCCGACCAGGCGTGCAGGCGATTTGATTTTTCTGGAATCGTCATAACTGAACATGGACAGAAAGGAGAGAAGCTGGTGGGCATGGTAACTAAGAGAGACTTGAAAGCCATTCCACATTATAGCTATAATGGGTCGATGACTTTAAACGAGGTATGTGAATAAATCTATTATTGACACACGTTGTCTCTCGGATGATTAAATAATTTGATCTATTATCTCAAAAAAAAGAGCCAGCGATTTAGGCATTTACTTAGATTTGTCTTTGTGTATTCGAATACTTATATATTCGATATACAGTTTAATTGTCCTCGTTGAAGTTAGGCATTGACCTGAGATTTGTTTTTGTGTATACGAATACTTATATGGATATAGAATGTTTTAGATGTTCTAATCTTGTTGAATTAATAGCACCAGAAGTTTATTTCTTGTATCACATACAGATAATGACGCCTAAAGAAAACCTCACCCTGATAAATGTTTCACATAATCAATTTAATGTCATTGATCACGTCTGGGAGGAAAATGAAGGTTTGAAAATATCTGGTTACTTTCACTGACTATGTAAACATAAACAGCCTTTTCGAAGTTTTGGTGGCCTGTCAGAAATATGATGTGTCCCCCCACCCCTCGAAATAGGCTGTGACCACCAAGAATTATTCTGTGACCCACAAGAAATGCGCTGTGGCCCACAAAAAATGCTGTGGCCCAACAAATATGCTGTTGCCCTAAAGAAATATTTTGTAACCACCAAGAAATATGCTGTGGCCCCGAAGAGTTAAGCTGGGGCCCCGAAGAGCTAAGCTGTGGCCCCGAAGAGTTAAGCTGGGGCCCCGAAGAGTTATGCTGGGGCCTCCAAGAATTATGCTGTTCACATCTGGGGTGTGCTTGCTTGTTAGAAAAGGTGTACCTTTGGAAGGGGGGCCGCTTACTACACATCTGGGGGTGTGCTTGTTTGATTGAAAAAGTGCATGCGTGTGTGTGTGAGGGGGGGGGGGGCTCACTATTCAAAGTTAATTTCTTTGTACTGAATCTGAATGTCGGAATCTCCCATAACACATACACATCTGGGGGTGTGCTTGTTTGATTGAAAAAGTGCATGCGTGTGTGTGTGAGGGGGGGGGGGGCTCACTATTCAAAGTTAATTTCTTTGTACTGAATCTGAATGTCTGAATCTCCCATAACACTGCCACGACCAGAAAATTACATTACAATGTTAAAGTTAAGTAAAACTTAATTTTTCAATAAATTAAAACATTAACATTTTTTTCCTCCTTATATTATTTCTAAAGCTGAGTTGCTACTCGTAAACAATGAAGAAGAGTTTGTTGCCTTGGTTACCCAGGAGGAGTGGGAGAAAAACTACAGAGAAACAAAGTAAACGAAAACATTTTAAGACTCAACAACCGGGATTGGAAATAGGAACACGAAACCCACTGTTCATGGTGGACAATAGTCTTCTTCATTTTCTTTTTTTTACGCATTTAACCTGGGGAGGAGTTACGGATAGGCCATACTGGCGATTCGCTTTAAGGTTTGAGGTCTGCTGACTGTTCAAGTTGAGGACTTCGACGGGGGTCCTTAGCCTTGCAGAGTCAAACCACATCCAGCGTGGTATTCCGCTGGTCGTGAAACCGGAGTGCCTGCTATTGTAGGCTGAAAACGCAGGTTGATCAGATAGGCAAACCTATTAATTTGATTGTGGGGCCATTTAAAGGTCGACTGAGATGGCACTGACCGTAAGGGTTGAGCTTAAGACCAGGTTAATTGGCCTGGCTTTGGTCTACCTTTTGATTCTTCGGTGTCTAAGCAGCGAGACTTGCTGGTCACTGACGAATGCCATCTGCACTTCTGTCTCCATTTCTCTGTCCATCTTTCCGTCTTTATCATTTTCATTTAAATTACCTTTAAAATTATGTGCCGTGCTTAAGTTAAAATATTGTGATTAGTTCATATGTTCAGAAATAATTAAAAACACTTAACATTACCAACAATGTACGATTACCAGAACTATTACCATTACCTAAAATACACCATCACCAACAATGTTACCATCACCAACACTATTACCATTACAACACTATTACCATTACCAACACTATTACCATTACAACACTGTTACCATTACAATACTGTTACCATTACAACACTGTTACCATTACAACACTGTTACCATCATCAACACTGTTACCATCACCAACACTATTACCGTCACCAACACTATTACCATTACAACACTGTTACCAATACAACACTGTTACCATTACAACACTGTTACCATCATCAACACTGTTACCATCACCAACACTATTACCGTCACCAACACTATTACCATTACAACACTGTTACCAATACAACACTATTACCATTACAAAACTATTACCATTACAACACTGTTACCATCACAACACTGTTACCATCACCAACAATATTACCATTACCAACACTATTACCATTACAACACTTTTACCATTACAACACTGATACCATTACAACACTGTTACCATTACAACACTGTTACCATTACAACACTGTTACCATCACAACACTGTTACCATCACCAACACTATTACCATCACCAACACTATTACCATTACAACACTGTTACCAATACAACACTGTTACCATTACCAACAATATTACCAATACCAACACTATTACCATTACAACACTTTTACCATTACAACACTGCTACCATTACAACACTGTTACCATTACAACACTGTTACCATTACAACACTGTTACCATCACAACACTGTTACCATCACCAACAATATTACCATTACCAACGCTGTTAACATTACAACACTTTTACCATTACAACACTGCTACCATCACCAACACTATTACCATCACAACACTGCTTTTTTTTTTTCAATTGATTGCCTTTTGAAAACTTTTTGTTATAAGTCCAACGTTCTTTAAATGGATATTAATATTGCTTTCTTCTCCAGTATAAATTTGGTCGGTGCAGCCATAGGGACACACAAGTCAGACTATGACAGGTTGGAAAAGTTGGTAGAAGCTGGGGTTGACTTCGTAGTCCTGGTTTGTATTTGTACATTGTTTAGTTTGACATTCAATAATCGCCATCTTTGTCAAATTTTTTTATTTTTTAAAGTTTAAATGAATCGTGTATTCGATAGTTGACCAGTATTTATTTATTTATTTTTGGTATTAGGACTCATCTCAAGGCAACTCCAAGTACCAGATAGATTTTATTAGATACATCAGGGAGAGATTTCCAGACCTTCAGGTGATTGGTGGAAACGGTACGTTGAGTGAGCATAAAGATACAAGTCACTGCGTTAGTAGCGCATTTTGAGAGGACGGGGGGGGGGATANCACCAGGCAAATATTTGACCAAATCATCATGTTGTTATAGTAATGTACACCAGGCAAATATTTGACCAAATCATCATGTTGTTATAGTAATGTACACCAGGCAAATATTTGACCAAATCATCATGTTGTTATAGTAATGTACACCAGGCAAATATTTGACCAAATCATCATGTTGTTATAGTAATGTACACCAGGCAAATATTTGACCAAATCATCATGTTGTTATAGTAATGTACACCAGGCAAATATTTGACCAAATCATCATGTTGTTATAGTAATGTACACCAGGCAAATATTTGACCAAATCATCATGTTGTTATAGTAATGTACACCAGGCAAATATTTGACCAAATCATCATGTTGTTATAGTAATGTACACCAGGCAAATATTTGACCAAATCATCATGTTGTTATAGTAATGTACACCAGGCAAATATTTGACCAAATCATCATGTTGTTATAGTAATGTACACCAGGGCTGTCTTAACAGCGTGAATTTTCAAGTCTGGTAAATAAAAAAAAAATGGAATTTATTTGGAAAACGAGAAAAATGTTCACAATAAACTCTGAAATCAAATTAAATTGGCTAGAGGTCTTTCAAAAGTCATTAACACTATGGGCTATTTGATACCAATAGAAGAATGTGACACACCCCGCTCCCAGTAGCGCGAGGCCGTGGGTCAACTGCCAACTGTGCCCATGCCTTAAGATGACATTGTTGTACATACTAAAAGGAAACATGTATGCATACTGTGACGAAATATACTCCTGATTAACGTGGACATGAATTCTAAGCAGGCAGACAGTCATGGGAGTGGGAAATGGGTGATTACAGGTTGTGATATACTTTCTAAGTCAATGCTGAGGTTAATATCTCCTTTTGGGACCCCAGCCGTTACGAATGAACGCCATTAAAAAGGTGCAATAGCCTAGTCGGAATTTCATCTCTGTATTATTTTAATTTAGTAGGTAATTTTGGCATGATTGCTTTTAATTTTAATATGTTAAAAAGTAGACGCTTGAGTGCACATCGTTTAGTTAGCGGAGTTATTCGTCCTTCTTTTCTCGGCATCTAGGGGCATACAAATCTAAGTACTATTTAAAAGGATGAGTTTCACTCACTGAAAGAAGAGATAAGTTAAGATTGTTAGTTATATCAAACCCGACACAGTTAAGAAGTTCAGATCCTTAAATAGAAGTGACCGACCAGAAGATCGTTTAGGAAACCGGCTTCTAGAAAAATATGAGAAATTCCTGGCGTCTGTAGTTGGATTTTTACGTGTCCCTTCACTGCTTGACCTGCACTTCTGAGACGGGAGCTTCTTAGTAGCAGGTTCATTGACGCATCGAGGAGCCAGGTACGCTAACCTCTCCGCCATTTTCTTTGACCATAGTCTCGGAGATCGGGGCTGCTAGACTTCTCACACTCTCTCTTTGTATGACATTTTTCACTTTGCTCAAACTTATATATTACACATAAAAAAATAAATAAAAAATCAGCAATTTATTTCTGATGTATTGAACAGTGGTGACCGTTGCCCAAGCCAAGAACCTGATCGACGCCGGAGTCAACGGAATACGAGTGGGGATGGGAAGCGGCTCTATCTGCATTACACAGGAAGGTTGATATATTAATACGTTTTTGGACCAGGGAGTTTTGTCTTGTATAATGGGTTCTGTGCCAGAGAGCATGGTCAAGTATAATGTAGCACAAAACGGGCTGAAACTTTTTTTTTCTTTTACACGCATTGAAACTGTTATCTTTGAAATTGTCAAAATATTTTAACTGGCAACTTAAATCCCAGGAAAAAAAACACCCACCTCCACAATAACCGATGTAAAACACGTTTTTATGAATAATAAGAAATATTTTATAAAATTTCAAAGAAATAACCCAAACCTTCTTTTAATATGAATTCCCGTCGAATGAATACTTCCTTCTATTCAATTGAAAAAAAAAAGAATGTTAAAATCTATTTATGTTTATTTTCCCAATCTGATAGTCATGTCTGTAGGGCGAGCCCAAGCCTCAGCAGTGTACAACGTAGCCAAATATGCCAGCCAACGAGACATACCTGTGATAGCTGATGGCGGTGCAGCAAACTTTGGGGACATTACCAAAGCCTTGGCTATCGGTGCTTCTACCGGTAGGTCATCATGGAAAACATTTTGTAGA